GTGCTTCTTTTCTGGGGTCAGCGGGAGGAATTATGCCCCTTTGTTGGTGTCAGTGGATGGAATAGTGCCCCAAGGGCCCGATTTAAAAAAAAAAAAAAAAGAAAAGCAAAGGGCAATCTGGTCCCGGGGCCGCAGTTTGGAGACCACTGGTCTAGACCAAATTATTACCTAAAGGGTTTTATCTTCAAGTATTTGCTTGCTCTTCATAGCTGATAAATGTTTAAGAAATGCGAAGATTGGATTGTAATATATGTTGCTGGCTGTGAAATTAAAAAAAAAATATTCAACCGTGTGTGTGTGTGTGTGTGTGTGTGTGTGTGTGTGTGTGTGTGTGTGTGTGTGTGTGTGTGTGTGTGTGTGTGTGTGTGTGTGTGTGTGTGTGTGTGTGTGTGTGTGTGTGTCCGTCCGTCCCACTGAATTGTGGTTGTACTGTAAATTTGTTATGTGTGGCTGGCTGTATACATATTCTCTAACCTCTGATATTAACGGAAGCCTATTACCTGAAAATTGCTCAATCCCAGCCCCTGGAAAATAACTTGTCCTGTGTATAAGCTGAGGGCGCATAGTGATCTTGTCCTGTGACTGTACTTGGGTGTAGTGATTGACCCTAGGCACATCATGAGAGGAGGAGACATACTTTTCCATACTGGAAAGAACTTTGTGTTTTGTGTCACCACCACAGGAAAATTATTAACCAAGAGGGGTGCTGTGAAGGTTGTTCCAGGTTGTTGGGGAGGTAGACTTAGCATAGACCCTGCCACTGTGCCCTGAATGATCAAGGTGACAGTCTCAGTGCCCACTATGTATGTACAGACCGTCCTTTCTTCATTGCAGGTTTTATTGCCCAGCTGTGTTTACCAAAAACATCACACATACATGTAACAAATGAGGAGTATGTCATTATAGTTGGAGATGTTTGCTTCTGGTGAGGCTTTTTTTTTTTTTTCCTCCCAGGTTGGATATGGACTGCATTAGGGCTCTTGCATGTGGGCTGGCTGAGTCTGATCAGCTTAATTCAGCTGATTTCCTCTGCCCAGGTGCAGCGCACAGCCGGTTATTGCCGCTGAGTGCCGCTGTTCGTGTGTACAGTGGTGCTACGGTAAACATGAGCGCACCGTATTCTATAAGCAGAACTGTGTTTACCATAGCACCACCAACCATACACATGAAGACAGCAGAGCACGCCGTCATACAGGCTGTGTATGCTGTACTTTGACTGCCTGGTTGCAGGAAAGATGGCGACATTCACCCTGAACGGAAGAGCAAGAGTCCTGGTGTGTTTTTTTTTTTTTTTTTTTTTTTTTTTTCCCATCCCCCTTAATGTTCCAAGGAAATCTGTCATGTTTAGTCTCATACAAAATGCTAACGCCATAACTCCAGCAGCTCTGTAGGAATGCATTTTAATTTACTAGTAATACCAGAGTTCTGGTTGGTAGATGAATATCATTTCTCATCATTTCAGCTGGATCACTGAATTTTGGAAAGGTTCATCTATGTCACAACATTCTGGTAAGAAACCAGTTTTTCTCCATCAGTCCCGTATTTTGTCCAAGTAATCTTGTAGACGTGGCATTAAATAAGATATTTTTCATGCATTATTGTAATGATTTGATTATCTCTTGCAAGCTTTATAAATTTTACTTGAAGCATTTACAGACCAGCTGTACTCATATTCTTTCGTGTTAAATAGTTCCTTGGACCAAGCTGGCCCAAAAAAACGATTTCCTTTACTAGTACAGGTGGCTGCTGTCAGTACTGTATACACAATGTGTAGCATCAACTACTTACATTTTGCAATGCTATGATGCAGTAGTGGTACAGGGACTTCCTATTCCATTCCTGGAACAAAATTGAGTCGGGCTCAGTGCTGTTCATCCTTCACAGGATGCCTTGTGTTTTTATGAATGAATACAAGGCTTCCTCTGATGGCTGAGGTAGAGAGATGAACAGATGATGTCACAAACTCTACCTCAGCCAGTCAGCCATGTAGTCTTATTGTAAAGGCTGGAACTGCCCCCAACTGAGTCAGTCCTAATGCCCTACAATCAGCAAAGCTCATGCATCTCACGGACCGAAGAACTCTGATTTGACTTGGCAGGTGGCGTGTCAGCCCTATAAAAAGATTTCAGCTTTTCCCCACAGAGAGCAAGGGTTCCTCTGCAACATACTGCCTCAGGACAGGATGTTCTACTTGAGCAGTGGCTGATTTGTTTTAAGGACAGAAAACTGAGAATTTGCACAGTTTTGTTATAATATACTTGGAATGTATTAAGTTTTCAAAAAAAAAAAAAAAAAAAAATCCCCTTTATGGATCAAACATATTAAGTATTTGGTCACATTTCCAATAATATTTTACATCTTAGTTAAGTTGTAGGTGTAGGTAACTCGATTTGGATAGGAGCAGTAGAAATGTGTACTGTATTGTCTGATATAGGTCTGACCCACCTCGCTTGTTCACCATCCTACTCCAAACTACAGGTGAGAGGATGGGAAAGGATGATATCACTCTGCTGTTATAGGAAAGAGTGAAAAAGTAAGGGTTACAAAAGAAAAGGAAAGGGTTGGTAACCCTCATGGTCTTTGATATCTGTTGTATCCATGGGTCCAATGGTTTCTTTAATTTGAGTATTGTAGAGCGTTGTTTTTTGTTTTTTTATTGTAATCCAATTTGATTTGTGTTTTTTTGTATTCAGTAGACACAAGTGACTGTTTCCAGTCTGGCAGCTAGAATTATTTGACACTAGTATTTTTGAATATTTAGAGATATAACTGTAAATTTTTTGAAACAAAGCAGTTTCTGGTGATCTGGCAATATTTACCCTGTGACAGTAAATTATACTGAAGATTAAGCAATAGTTCACACTGGTGCGATTTATCATGCAATTTAACAGTTCCGAATCGCATGACAAGTTGCACCCCATTGCCTACAATGGGGCCTTTTAAATATGTGCGACTCCAACTTTGCGGTGCAGCACTAATTTTGAAAAAAAAGGTTCCTGCACTATTTTTGGTGATTTCATGTACGACTTGCATAGACATCTGTACATGAAGTCACATGATTGTCAAGTGTAACATGAAATCGCACTGACCGGCGGCTTTGACATGACGTTTTTTACCTTATTTAAACGCAAAGTTAAGTTGTGTTTTTTTTTTTTGCTCGTGCAGTGGGGCTGTGCCTGCATTGTACAGGTTAAATGCTTGTGTTTTTGTTCTTTTTGGTGTGTGTTTATTTTTTTTTTTTTGTTTTCTTTTTGTTTTATGGGAGAGGACACCAAGGACATACTTGTCTGATCCACTGAACCTCCCCACACCGCGATCCAGCAGTCTTGTAAATGGACTGTTCCTGACGTTAGCACTCTCAAAGTGTACTCCACAGACAGGAACAGACCACCGCTGGACCGTGGGGAGCGTGGTTTTCCATAGGATCAGTGGGTCAGGTGAGTATAAGCTTAGTCCTCACCCCTAGAAAAAACAAGCAGCTGATCCATGCAGTGGAGGCACAGTCCCACTACATAGGGGAAAAAAAAATGACTGGAAGGGCTTGTAGGGAAGCACAGTGGCTAAATGGTTAGCACTTCTGCCTGGCAGTACTAGGGTCGTTGGTTCAAATCCCAGCCACGGCACCACCTGCCTGGAGTTTGCATGTTCTTCCTGTGCCTGCGTGGGTTTCCTCCAGGCACTCCGGTTTCCTCTCACACTCCAAAGACATGCTAGTAGGTTAATTGGATACTGTCTAAATTGGCCCTAGTATGTATGAATGTAAGTTAGGGACCTTAGATTGTACGCCCCTTGAGGGACTGATATGAATGTACAATATATATGTGTAAAGCGCTACGTAAATTGACGGCGTTATATAAGTACCTGAAATTAAATAAGTGTTTTGTTTGTTTTTTTTGAGCTACTGGCCTAGAAAGTTGGAGGTCTTTAATCTGCTGCTGTTTCACTGTCACTGAATGTTTTAAAACAAGATAGTTGGAACAGATTCTAAGCAACTAACATTTGGGTGCATTCACATTTGCAAATGCACCCGCTTGGCGATTAGATGCGAGAACCCCTGCAATTGACTGTGAGAGGCAGCCAGCCCCATTGAAAGCAATGGAAGGTTGCTGGCTACTGCAGCTTGTCGTGCCCGCTTGCATGTAAATGCTTATGAGTGGGTGGTATTTGCTATGTGAGATGGCAGCCTCTCAGTGATTTCAGAGGGACTGCTCTTGCAGCTAATCAAGTGTGACAGCACCCTTAGAATGAAACTATTTTGAAATGTATTTGTGGTCATTGATCACTGGAATTGTGTAGATAATGGCCTTGGTTGTGTTAATGCTGTCCACAAATTGGTAACAGCCCATTCAAATGTGCATCAATACCCTGTGTTTAAGTTTCATTTAAGCAGCTTTTTTAAAGCCCCATAGCCGTCCTTCAGTGCTTCTCATGAATTTTACAAATGGCACCACACAGTGCAGTACACACAGGAGCAGTAGCACTGTGTTAAAAAATTGAGCAGCTTGTGACTTCCCCGATTTTATCTCTATGGTATTGGAAGCCAGAAGCTTGGGAAAATATTTTCTAGAAATACTGATTTGTACAAGTCAATAAAAATGTCAGAAAAGGCCTGGTCTTAAAGTGGATATTATTCACAGTCTTTGGACATGAGATTAAGCTACATTATTTTGGGTAGTTTTCAAGGTTGTCAGAATTCATGTATATATGGTTTCTTTTATGTTACTATTTTGTTACAGCTGAAATATTGAAAGTTTTTTTTTTTTTTGCTTTCTTTTTCTTTCCCTACTGACTTTACTTGCTTTATATGCGTTCAGGATGAGTGATATAGAAAATAATAAATGCAGAGACCCTGATCATTTTCAGGACATCAGCAGTAACTTTTGAGTCATTTTTGTACAGGTTTCCTTTTAATTGTATCACTGTATAAGTGACCTGCTATAAAACTGTTCCTTTTGCACACTACTACAACATTTGTTAGTTACCTTGACAGAAATCTTTAGATATTTATCCAAATATAATTGCTATGGGATTTCCGGCAGAAAGACTTGAAGGTGTATACCGAAACAATATAGACGATGTTGTAAGGTAAGTGTTTTTGTACTTTAAAAAAAAAGTGTTTTGTTAATAAATGCATGTGAATTGTGTTGTTCTAGAGTGTTTACAGCAGTCAGGCTTTCTTCCCCCCAATTCTCATGTCTTAAAAAGTGTATAGAGTTTTAATCCTTTCGCTGTCAGGTCTGTACATTGTACGGAGCTCACAGCGGGGGCTTATATAGACAATCCGGTGGCTGCAGCCACTGCGATTGTGTCTAAAACTGACAGGCAGACTCCTGCCTGTCAGGTGGAAGCAGTCAGGCGGCTGCACTGCTGCCTGATCGCATCTACAGCCCCCCCCAACCCTCTGCGTGTGTGCTTCCGCCATTTATCCGGGCTCCGCTCGCCCAAGCACATAACATTCCTTCCCTCAAAAAATTGTTGAGGCCCCCCCCCCCAAATACACACGTACCAGTGTAAACGCACACATCAGGGCACCTACGCATGCAAATGTCCGTTGCGATACACATCACATATTGCCACACACACTGGAGTGAGATCAATACTTCTAGTACAAGACCTCCCCTGCAACACTAAAATGATGACCTATAGGGGCTTTTGAAGCGATGCCTATAGAAAATATAGGGTACTAAAATTAGTTGCTATTTCACGAGTACACACAAGATTAAGGTTTGACATGCTGAATATCTATTTACTTGGTGCAACCTCCTCTTTTTTTATATTTTACCAAAAAAATGGGTAATTTATTACTGTTTTTTTGCTATTTCATAGGCGCACACAAATTTAAAGTTTGGCATGTTGGGTATCTATTTACTCTGCACAACCTAGTCTTTAATAGTTTACCAAAATTTGGGTAATTTATTGTGTGTATTTGTCCTAAAATTCACTTTATAGTGTTTTTGTTTGTTTTTTTTTTTTTTACTGAAATTTTTACTTTGCAGTAACATCGCGTGACACAAAAAATTGGAGCTACCACCATTTTGTTCTCTAGGGTGTCTGCTTTAAAAGAATACACTGCTCAAAAAAATTAAAGGAACACTTTGAAAACACATAAGATCTCAGTGGGGGAAAAAATATCATGCTGGATATCTATACTGATATGGACTGGGTAATGTGTTAGAAACGTAAGGATGCCATCGTTTGATGGAAATGAAAATTATCAACCTACAGAGGACTGAATTCAAAGACGCCCTGAAAATCGAAGTGAAAAAATTATGCGGCAGGCAGATAGATGGAATGAAACATGATATCCCAGAGGTGTTCTATTGGATTTAGGTCAGGCGAGCATGGGGGGCCATTCAATGGTATTGATTTCTTCATCCTCTAGGAACTTCCTGCATACTCTCGCCTTATGAGTCTGGGCATTGTCGTGCACCAGGAGGAACCCAGGACCCACTGCACCAGTGTAGGGTTGACGATGGGTCCAAGGATTTCATCCCGATACCTAATGGCAGTTAGGGTGCCATTGTATAGCCCGTAGGTCTCTGTGTCCCTCCATGGATATGCCTCCCCAGACTATCACTGACCCACCACCAAAACGGTCATACTGTGAATGATGTTAGAGGCAGCATAACGTGCTCCAAGGCTTCTCCAGCCCCTTTCATGTCTGTCACATGTGCTCAGGGTGAACCTGCTCTCATATGTGAAAAGCACAGGGCGCCAGCGGTGGACCTGCCAATTCTGGTGTTCAATGGCTAATGCCAATCAAGCTCTATGGTGCCGGGCAGCTAGCACAGGGCCCACTGGAGGATGTCGGGCCCTCAGGTCACCCTCATGAAGTCTGTTTCTGATTGGTCAGAGACAGTCACACCAGTGGCCTGCTGGACGTCATTTTGTAGGGCTCTGGCAGATCTCATCCTGTTCCTCCTTGCACAAAGGAGCAGATACCTGTCCTGCTGATGGGTTAAGGACCTTCTATGGCCCTGTCCAGCTCTCCTAGAGTAACTGCCTGTCTCCTGGAATCTCTTCCATGTTCTTGAGATTGTGCTGGGAGACTTGGCAAACCTTTTGTCATTGGCACTTATTGATGTGCCATCCTGGAGGAGTTGGACTGCCTGTGCAACCTCTGTAGGGTCCAGGTATCATCTCATGCTACCAGTAGTGACACTGACCCTAGCCAAATGCAAAACTAGTGAAAAACAGCCAGAAAAGATGAGTAAGGAAAAAAATGTCATTGGCCTCCACCTGTAAAACCATTCCTGTTTTGGGGGTCGTCTCAGTGTCGTCCATCTAGTGCACCTGTTGATAATTTCATTAACACCAAAGCAGGTGAAACTGATTAACAAACCCCTCTGATACTTAACTGACCAGATCAATATCCCAGGAGTTTAATTGACTTCATGCTATACTCTGATTAAAAAGTGGTCCTTTCGTTTATTTGAGCAGTGTATATAATGTCTTGGGTGTTTTGTGTAATATAAAGGCCTAAAATGATTTTTTTAAATGTATGTGTAAAAAAAAAAAAAAAAAAAAAAAAGCAAAAATGGCTCTGGCAGCGAAAGGGTTAATAGTTTGGTGTTCCCTTCCCATCATAATGACCTGAAAGTTGATTGGTGATGTTCAGTCTATGCACAGCTATTGAAATCTATTGCTTTTCTGCATCCAGCTCCTTTCTGAGTCTTAAAGCATACCTAAACAAAAATGTAATATATTGCAATTTACCTATCTTAAATTTCATGGCTTCATTAATTGTGTTTGAACTCTTTCACCTAGTGATCCAGCCAGTAACAGAATTCTGTGTAAGGGTGGCTGTACTCCATGGAGGAGCAAAGAAGCTACCCTTGGACAGCAGCATTGTCAACCTGCGGAGAGAGTAGGGCTAGATGTACCAGCAGATTTAGATGGACTAGATGTACCAGCAGATTTAGATGGACTAGATGTACCAGCAGATTTAGATGGACTAGATGTACCAGCAGATTTAGATGGACTAGATGTACCAGCAGATTTAGATGGACTAGATGTACCAGCAGATTTAGATGGACTTGACTGACAAATTAATGCTGAACTCCAGCTAACACTTCTTGGGCAGCTACAGCAGTTTTGTTTTTTTTGCCTTTTGGTGTAAGGGTTTTGCATAAATGTATAAAATATTTAATTTCCCTTTTGGGATTATTAAAGTATTCTGAATCTAAAAGCTATTATAAGCACCCCTGTCAGTGTTAAAGCCGAACCAGGGCCCAAAACACCATATCTCCATGAAGTCTTAAGTGGACATCTTCTACCCTGGTGATTATCTCTGGCTATCTGCAGGGTGATTTACCTCCCTGAGCATGTGCAGACATTTAGTCATCCCAGCACACAGTCACAGTGCTGCTATGTATATTTAAGCCTGTGAACAAGCAGGTAGATTTATTTTATTGCAAACCAGACATTGCTTGTCTCTTCTACAGTAAACAACTTGTCTGCTCACAAAAAAAAAACGTTATTTCCACTTTAAGGGCTCATTCACACCATGGCGCAGAAACTTCAGTTTTTCTGCATGCGTTCTGCAAGGGCACAAAAAAAAAAAATTGTTCTCTATGTGTTCTGTTCACAACACAACACTAATATCATGTGCAGATTTTTTTTCTGCGCAGGGTCTGCAACATGTATAAAACTCATTTAAGCGTAAACTGAAAACTGATGTGTCTGCAAGTGAAATGTTTGGGTTTTTTTTTTTTTTTTTTTGGTAAAAAGGTGCAATAAATTTTTTTGTTGCAGGAGCTTGCAAAGCATTTCACTAGCAATCAGCAGATCACTGATGCCACACAGGTCTATTGCAGACCTGTCTGTGTATCTGCTTGCTCGTACCTTGGATGGGCAAGCCGATACTTACTGACAGAATCGGTAAACAGCCTTTAAGGCTGTTGGGACTTGTAGTTTCCCATTCACAGAATGCTGTGCATGAGTGATGTAGGTGGAGCCCTGCGCAGCCACATTGTTTTACAGTTTTGACAGTTAGCAGGGGGAGAAGATCCCTCGCTAGCTGTCAAAACCGGAGAGTGGGGGCCAGTAATTTCATAGCATGTTATACCCGGATTATGGGTGTAGCATGTTATGAAAGGTGAACATATCCTTTTAATTTCTTTGTTTCAACCCTCTAACTGCCACTTTTTTTAGACAGCTTGGTCTTTTAAAGGATGTTAAAAAATAAGATTTACTGGCTGGATTATCAGGTAAATAAAAAGCCTAAAACTAATGCAGTCACCATATTTAAGAATTGGTAAGCTGCAGTATAGTTAGATTTTTGCTTTTTAGATATGCTCTAAAGTAAGACTATGGGTAAAAAAAAAAAAAATGACAGTGCAGTCTTCTGGTAGCATTCACAAAGTAACTGTATTATATGTTGATCCTACAAGTCAGTCTTATTTTTCAACTTCCTTTACTGTCCAACAAATGTGAAGCCTTGGGGCAAAGACAAGCCATTTAACATTGACTGGGGTGCTTACAATGGTCATGTTTTTACTCATTTACGAAAATCCTTTATCCCCAAAAAAAGAAAAAAAAAAAAAAAAACACTTACAGTAACTACTTAACCCATTCACGTCGATGGAACACAAATATGCAGCCCCACGGAACTGGGCTTTTTTCCATGGTGCCGCATATATGCGGACCTGTTTTTGTGCTGGGCATGCACAACACAGCGCGCTCCCCGCACAAAGACTGGGATGTCGCTGAGATCCCCGGGTCCTGTTCTAACGATCGGGACCCCCGATTCTGGGTCACATGATCACTGTGATAGCCTCTGATTGACTATCGCAGTGATCGGTCACTACAGGCCACCAACCCTTTTTTTTTTTTTTTTTTTTTCTCTCTCTGAATGGAGGAGAGATATACATTGTACCTTTCTTTCTCCTAGTATAGAGAAAAAAAACTGTTAAAAAAATACCTAGATCAGGGTTTGATCTAGTTCGGGTGCCAGGGTTAGTGTTTGGGTCAGGGTCAAAGGTCAGTTTTTGTTTTTTTTTTTTTAAATTGGTATCAGTGTAAGTGTGTTTTAGGTAAAAATAAAACAAACAAAATGCACACTATTGTTTCTGGGCTGTACTGTG